CCTCTGTTTTCCATGATCTTCTCTGTCCTCCTAAGCCTGGGAACCTTAGCCACGCCTACCCCATTCTGCCCTGCCCAGGTATAGGCTGTTCAATCAATCAATTAGATATGTCTTAGGCAGGTTTACAAAACAAAGATAGGTATAACCAGATCTTAGCATCAGACCAACCTCCAACAGTCTGCCACACAAGAATGTTGCCATTGGATCAAGTGCCTAACCAACCACCATTGCCTTATTTACCTGGTTGACTATTCTTATCTATGATAGGCTAAAGATACATTACTGCAGAATTAAAATAGAATACTGACAAAAAAAACTCTGGGACTCAGAAGGACTCAATCCATGTGACTCTTGATTTGGATCTGAAACCATTCACCATGGAAAACCTGAAAGGCTGCATGGCAGAAACAAAAGGGATTGGCACTCAGAGATGGCCTTCATGCAAACATCTCTCATTGGTTGTCTCATGAGTTCTGTGAATGAGATATTTTTGCCTCATTTTGTTTTGGGTTTTGTTGTTGTTGTTGTTTTGAGATAGGGCTTCTCTATGTAGCCTTGGCTGTCCTGGACTCACTTTGTAGACCAGGCTGGACTCAATTTCACAGAGATCCACCTGTCTCTGCCTCCCAAATGTTGGGATTAGAGGCATATACCACCGAGCACAGGTTTTTGTCTCATTCTATAGCTACAGCTTCATCAGAATGAAATCAGAAAGGATAAGAGCTTATTTACATGTTTCTGCAACTGGTGAATAAAGAACAAATTTTACATGCAAATTGTAGGTCAGCCTGCTGAGATACCAGCTCCACCAACCATCACTATCACTGGGCAGATCATGTTTTCTTACCTTTGAAAATAGGAATGATAGGGTTGCTGTGAAACAAAGTAATACATAGTAGTATCTGGCACATGTAGGTCAAAATAGTACCTATGTCAAAAAAACATGTTTTACATTGTGTTTTAGAAATGAATCTTCAGAATCACCAAACTTAAATAAAGCCAGCCATAGTAGCCCAGACACAGGATCTCAGCAAGAGGATCAGGAATTTAAGACCATCTTTGACATAAACGTAAGAGCAGCCTACACTACATGAGACAGCTTGGGGAAGCTGCAGGGGATCTGACTCCTCTGGCTCCCGTGAGCACCTAAGCTCATGTAAATATACCCACACGGAGAAACACTCAAACACAAAACCAGCTGACTTAAAAAAAAAAAAATTCCTCCAGAAAATCTTTAAGGAGTCTTGAGTAACATGTAAAAGGAAGCCACTCATATGCTGGTGAAATCAGAAAATAAGGCTATCGAGGTCCTGAATAAGACCTTGGAACCTTTTCCAGCCACTATTACAGCCTTAAAAATTCTATTTCCTACATCAAACAAGTAAAATAGGTATGGCAGGGACCCACAAAATTACTCTGAGAGCAAGAGCACTTGGCTGCCAAGCCTGACAACTTGTCTTGATCCCCAGATCCCACCTGGTAGATGAGAACTGATACCGACAAATTGCCCGCTGACCACTACATGTGCACCAGGGCACATGCACGCCTCCTCACCCTGTTGGTTTCCGGGTGGAAGCCAAGAAAATTCACTTCAGATACAGAAGCTTAAAATAAAAGCCTTATTTTCTGAGCTCAGGCAGGCGGCCAATTCAGGATCTGAACCACATCTCAAGGGAGAGCTGTACTGCATATTTAAAGGGTGAAAGACATAGAGCTATAGCGTTGTCTAGTCATATTTTGACATAAGGGGTTGAGCAAGGGAGTTTTCACCAATTAGGAGTAGGTCCCTGGGCCTGGGAACATGAACTTATTATCTCTCTCTCTCCTCTCTCTCTTCCTCTCTTCTTCCTCTCTCTCCTCTCCTCTTCTTCTTCCTCTCTCTATCTGTCTCTCTCTGTGGGTGGAGTTCGGTTTCTCTGTGTAGCCTTAGCTGTCATGGACTCACTTTGTAGACCAAGTTGGCTTTGAATTCACAGAGATCCACCTACCTCTCCCTCCCAAGTGCTGGGATTAAAGGCGTGCACCACTATCACCCACCCCCATACTTTTAAATGTTAAAACAAACAGGCATAGAGAGAGGTCAAATATATTCCCTAGAAGAGATAATTCTTGTATAATTAAAAAAGAGCTGCAAAAGATGGTACATGCGTGCAATCCCACTTCCCAGGAAGGAAGCTGAAGGCAGAAGAATTGCTGCGAGTTCTAGGCCACCCTGGGTTACATAGCGAGCGAAGCATATCTGTACCTAAGAAGTATGGAACTCTTGCTACAGTGGGGAAAACCGAGAACGCAGGCCGGAACGAAGGTGTGCGGAACGCCTGTTAGCTCGGGACTCGAAACCTACGACACTGGCGCAGGGCGGGTCCTGCGCATGCGCCAGGCGGTCGGCGCTTTGCGTGCCGAATGTCCGGGCTGCGGGCGCTGCTAGGGTTCGGGCTGCTGGTTGCGGGCTCGCGCCTGCCCAGGATCACAAGCCGGCAGAGTGTGTGCTGGACAGGACCTACCTGGTGGGGAACGCAGCGCCGGGGCCCCGAGACCATGGCGAGCGCCACCGTGAAATACCTGAGGTACGGCCGCGCTCTCCCGCGGGGGCGGGGCAGGGCAGGCCGTGCCCCCAGCACCCCATCGGCGGACTCAGGACAGGCCTTCCTTCAGCCAGGAGGAGGCTCGGGCCGTGGACGAGGAGCTATTTAATGAATACCAGTTCAGCGTGGATCAACTCATGGAGCTGGCGGGGCTGAGCTGTGCCACGGCCATTGCCAAGGTAGGTGGCACGGCGTGTCAGTAAAGGGTGGTGAAAGCTCGGGCGGGAGAGAAGACGGCGGTGACTTGCCGTCTTTGCACCTCTGCCTTCAGGCTTATCCCCCCACGTCCATGTCCAAGAGTCCCCCTACTGTTTTGGTCATCTGTGGCCCCGGGAATAACGGAGGTGACGGCCTGGTCTGTGCGCGACACCTCAAACTTTTTGTGAGTATGCGAACAGTCTTTGTGGCTAAGAAAACTGAAAGGATTCTGGAATGGGAGATTGAATAGCTACTTTCCTTTTCAAATAGGGTTACCAGCCAACTGTCTATTACCCCAAAAGATCTAACAAACCACTCTTCACTGGGCTAGTGACTCAGTGTCAGAAAATGGACATTCCTTTCCTTGGTGAAATGCCCCCAGAGGTAGGTGGCTTGATACCTCATCCCTCCAGTAAGTACTGCCCTTCCCCTTATGTTTTCATAACAAGCTGCCCTGTCTCGTGTCTGTCTGCCATAAAAGGGGCTCTCTGAATAGAAGTGGTGCAGAAGCTCCTCCATATTGTGTGCTGCACAACTTCCCAACACTTGCAGCTCCAGGTACTCTTATTCTGCAGTCAAATGTTTCCTCCAGCATGCATTTAACTGGTTCTCAGGGCCTCATTTCGAATCTTTCCTATAGATGTATGGATTAAAGGGTAGGAAATCTGAAATAAAAAAGAAAACAGAAAAGCAAAAAACAAAACAAAAACCCAAAAAATTATTCTATAGATAATGACATACAAAGAAATGGTTTGCCCAAAATTACAGAACTGGAGCAAGGCAAAGCTAAGACCAGAACCAGTCCCTTCTAGTTTCCAGTCTCAGGCTTCCCTACACTGTCAGCCCCACTCTCCCCAGTGGCAGGCAGGCACCCATAACAGAAAATATGCCTGTGTTCAAAATAACCTGAATGAGTGACTCTTTACTCTGTGCCTTAGAAAACAATTATATCCAGGCCTCTGTGGTCTGAGTAGGGGAACAGCCCTCCCAATGTGACAGCAGTTCCTGACATTTTTTTCCTCTTCCTACTCCCCTACAGCCCATGATGGTTGATGAGCTGTATGAGCTGGTGGTGGATGCCATCTTTGGCTTCAGCTTTCAGGGTGATGTCCGAGAGCCATTCCACAGCATCTTGAGTGTCTTGAGTGGACTTACTGTGCCCATTGCTAGCATCGACATTCCCTCAGGTGCTGGGTCCTCAGATGGGTGGGGGACTGGTGCTCCATCCTGTCTTAAGACTGGTAACCAGAGGACTGGGTTTTTGACCCACAGTATAGACCGGATCTAAAATAATCTGAATGTACCCTTCCATGTTCTCCATTAGGGCTGGGAAGCAAAGGTCATGATGGCCCTGTGGGAACACCCAAACACAATAGTACATGGGATTCAGAGTTCCTCAGGTGGGGACTCTTCTTTAGGACTAGACCTTCTGTACTTACTCATACTACTTTCTGTCTTCAGGATGGGATGTAGAAAAGGGAAATCCTGGCGGAATCCAACCAGATTTACTCATCTCACTGACAGCACCCAAGAAGTCTGCAACCCAGTTTACTGGGCGATATCATTACTTGGGAGGTCGTTTTGTACCACCTGCTCTGGAAAAGAAGTACCAGCTAAACCTGCCATCCTACCCCAACACAGAGTGTGTCTACCGTTTACAGTAAGGGAGGCGGGTGGGCAGGTTTCTCAATAAAGACTTGGTTCTTTCTCTCTTGAAACTGGAGTCTGGCCTTAACATCAGTGGGTTATATTTTCTTTGGGGAAACAGACCAGGCATTTGTAAGCAGTGGAAAATAACTCCATTGCTAGGTCAGGTGTGATAGCCTTCACCCAGGATTCTTACTTATTTTTGATACACTGGGAGATAGATGATGCCTCTAAACAAATCCAGCTTAGCATTGTAGCAAGGAATAGTGATGTCAACTGGGAATGTCCTATAAGCCTGAAGCCCAAGCTCTCATTTATTCATGATTAGAAGCAGGCAGTCTGGGAAGATAGGATAACCCAAACCATACATCTAAGTACATGTTTGTTTGTTTAATTCTGTTTTGTTTTTAACCTTCACAGTATTTAAAAATGAAGACATTTTGCAGGGTGTATTGGTGTATGCATCTGATCCAGGCACTCATGAGGCAGAGGCAGGTGAATCTCTATGAGTTCTAGGAAAGCCAGAGCTATATATTAGAGAAATCCTGTCTCAAATAAACACACAAAAAAGACATTTCACATAAGTCTACATTTTCAGACTTTACCAGACACTCCTTCAAATATGGACTTCTCTTCTCACCACCCAGCTAACCTTGAGAAGGAATCAGTTGAGATCCACTTTAGGCCTTCAGTCCCTCCTTCCACTTCTTTTTGGCTCTCTGGTCAGTGCTGATGCCAGCTCTCTCCTTTGGATGTGGCTGACTTCTCTCACCTTCATTCTCTACTTTCCAAGTCCTGCCATCATCATCTTTATTGCATATATCCAAGACCACCTCCTTACAACAATGCTGTCTTTTCTTCTTGTCTTGTCTTCTGACCTTTCTCTCTTCTGTTAAGACGTCCAAGATGAAGTCTTCCCCACACTGCTGCCACTTCTTACTGCTTCTCCAGGGGTCAGTGTCTGCTTCACTCTCCGCTGCCTTTGGCCCACCTGTCACATCCCTGCCTCCTTCATCACAGACTACCATCTTCCTCTCTTCGTGGTGTTGCCTCTTCTTTTTCTTCCTCTTCCTGGAAGACTGATCAGATTTTTCTGTGCTCAATTCTCCAGGCCCACTCACTCCTGCAGCCTCTTCCTCCCCACTTCCTACAGCAATTCCCTTTCTCTCATCTTTCTGCCTCTTTTTCTTCCTGCTTTTCCTGAAGTTCTTGTCAGTGTGTTCAAGGAGCTCCTCACTTAGATTCTTTTCAGTTGTTGTAGCCTCTTCCTCTTCTTTATGCTTCCTCTTCTTTTTATTTTTTTGGGAGAGCTCGCTGTTAGTCTGTGGTTGAGAGGTGCCCTCATCCTTTGAGCCTTTAAGCCGAGCCAGGAAGGCCTGCTCTTGGGCCTGCAGGCGAGCAAGCTTGGCCTTCATTGTGATTCCAGCCCGGGCAGCCCTAAGAGAGATGGGTCCAAGTCAGCAAGCATATTAGAGAAAGTTGAAAATTGAGGGAAGGGAGATGCCTGGCTTCAAAAATGACTGTGTCAACAACAGCAATTATTCCCCTGGAATGAAAATAATTGAGAGGTGGCATAGAATCTCCTCAAGCATAGGCAAAAAAGATGGAAGATCCAGAAGGCTATATATTTGTAACTTACTTGTGTGCTGTTCTCCCCTCACAAGCTTTGAATAGCATCTCATCAGTCAGACTGTAAGGGCAGATGACAAGTCACAAACAGATATGGTGAGAAGGCTTGATTTTTTTTTTTTTTTCTGTCTAAAAAATACACATCTTGACTATTTGTTCAAAACCTGGCACTTTTGAAGTGCTAAGAATACAACGATTAACACAATCTAATTAATTCCATAACACCCTCCACCCCAACTCCCCCTAGAGCCCAGTCAAGCATTACATCTAGTTGTTCATTCTCTTTATTTTATTTTATTTTATTTGGTTTTTCAAGACAGGATTTCCCTGTGTTTTAGTCCTGGCTGTCCTAGAATCACTCTGTAGACCAGGCTGGCCTTGAACTCAGAGATCTGCCTGCCTCTGCCTCCCGAGTGCTGGGATTAAAGGTGGCCCACCACCTGGCTCGTTGCTCATTCTCAGTCCCAAGGCATCTCCTCCCACATCTGGGTACCAAAATAAAGTCTCACATCTTTGGAGGTATGGGTTCGTGGTTGTCATCATCACTGCAGCTCCCCAAGTCTCTGTCGGGCTTCTCTTCACCTGAGGTTAGTGTAGCTGTCTAAAAGAAAAGGATCATGGAAATGGATGAAGCCAAACAGTACCATTACCAACTCCCCTCCCTTTCCGAAGCCCCTAGGAACTCCCTGCCCAAGGCATGAATCTGACAGCCCTCACCACTGTTCCTTGCAGAACCATGCAGCCTGCATATTTCGATTTGGGAAGGAGATAGGTCACAGTTATTGGGAAGTGGAGCAGCCAGGGCTTCTCTGGCTCACAGCTGGCTGATAGTAGAACAAGCAGGGAAAATTGCTCTGAGTCACATTTTCATGGGTGGGGGGAGGAGGTGGCCAGTAACTGACAATAAAGGCAGCACTCCTATTCCCAGTATATTTGTTGAACTAGAATAACAGAACCTATTATGGGCCATGTAGCTCAAAATATACAGTAGAATGACAATGGAATGGGTCCAGGTGGGGAGATATTCAGCTGGTAACAACACTTGCTGTACAAACATGAGGGAGGACCTAAGTGCAGATCTCCAGTGCCCTCATAAATTCTGGGCAGGTATGCTGACCACCTGTGATCCCAGCATGCAAGAGGTAGAGATTGGATTCCTAGCAAGCTAGCTAGGTAGCTAAACTAGACAAACTGGAAGGCTCTGGATTCAAGTGACTGACCCTAGCCCAATATATATGGTAGAGATCAAGATACCTAATGTCAACCTCTGGCCTTCAGATGCATAAGCACCTGCACACGTGTGTACACACATATATAAACATATACACACCAAAAACAAAACAAACAACAACAACAAAAAATAATAATAAAACAGATGGGGCCATCCAGATGTTATATAAAAGTCCATAATGTGGGCAGTTATGATGAATGTTGCCTGTCCAACAGATAACTCAGGCCAGAGTTTAGGGAGTGATATCTAGAGAGTGCTTATGTGTAATCTCAATCTGAAAGTCAAGCAATGGTTAGCAGGTAAAGGGCAAAGGGAGAACAACTGGCAGAGAAAAGGACAGGTAGGGGACAACACAGCTTCTTGAAGAAGAAGAAACAGACCTGCTGGCCAATCTCATTAAAAAGGATGGTGTAGAAGAATTTTAATCCAGCAACATGGCTGCTCTGGGAAGGGATCACATCCAAAGACCTAGGTCTATGTAATTAGGCTGGAATGTAGCTACACTCTGGATTATAATGTGATCTGGGCAGAATACTGATACACACTTAGCGCATACCTTTAATCCCAAGCAATGAAGGTAAAGCTTAGGTTATAGAAGGAAGGTGTTTGAAGGTGACGTCTAATTTAGGGGCAGACAAAGACAACTGAGAGAAAAGTTTGACAGAATGAGTCAGAGATAGGATACAGTCAACTCTCACAAGAACAGGAAAGGAAGGAGAGGCTACTTAAGAGCAGTGCAGGGAGAGAGGTTTGTAGGTTTTTTGTTTTGTTCTTTTTTGTTTTAACTAAAAGTTGATTACTGGGACAGTTTTACAGAGACAGGTTGCAGAGAGAACAAGCTGGACACAGGTTAAGACAGAAAGCTAGAGAAGGAGCCAGAAGATTAAAACACTGACAGAATTAGTTTGAGGACAGGCAGAGCAACTCAGAAGCAAAGAGAAGCCAGTTTGAATCAGTCATCTGGAGAGGAGTTTAGGCCAAAACAGCTGAGTTGAACCAGCCAGTGAGAATTCAGAAAGAGCTAGAAAGGCTTGTCTCTCATCACCACCCAGGAAATAAAAACAGCATTTACAATTGAGCCAGACAGTGGTGTTGCACCCCTTTAATCCCAGCACTCAGGAGGGAGAAGCAGGTAGACTTCTGAATTAGAGACCAACCTGGCCTACAGAGTGAGTTCTAGGGCAGTCAAGGCTACACAAGGGAAACCCTGTCTGAAAAAAAAACAAAACAAACAAAAAGGATCATGATACGTTTCAGTTTCAGAGAGAACTTTGTAGAGGGTCAGCTAACTATGGTGGAGAGTGGGACTAGAGGCAAAAAGGCTCTTAAAGAGAGAGGCAAGGACTGCATGAACTGAAACAGTAGATACAAACAGATGTAGAAACTGGGAAGGATTGCTAGATAAGTTGGAAACCCCTGACCACAAAATCTATGCTCACTAACTGCTAGTTTTCTATGGCTATAGTGAAAGACACTGGAGACCCTGGCTTCTATTCTTTTTGTATTTACTAGCCAGCTGTGGGCTCTTCAAGCAACCCATTTTTCACTCTTTCAGTCACATATGTAAAATAAGGATGAACCAGGTAATCTCTCCAGACTCTCCTGGCTTCTAAATATTTTTAAGGTAGACATCAACACATCCTACCCCAGCAGTTCCTGACTAAATGATGGCCCTCCCTCCCTCACACTGTTCTGTGCTGCTTCCCGTACCGATGAGGGGATATCCATGCAACTTTAACATCTCAACTCTGGATGAAGGCGTGGGCACAGAAAGCACATCTAAGCACAATGAGGTTGTGTGAACCTAAGTATGGCAAGGTTGGACACAGGATCTCAAGTGTGCTAGGATATCCTGAGAATCAGCTGGTCACAAAAGGCAATTGATCAGGACCCAGGGGAGACAGAGGAACACTGGAAAGCTAGGGCTCTCACTGTAGTACCTTCACAAACTTCTGATACAGTAAACTGGGCTTGGGATGATTGCACTGGGTAGTCTCCTTGGAAAGGCGCCTTATCTGCACTCCATCCTGTTAGAAAGTATCGGTGAGAAAGTGGCATGCTGTACCTCCCTAACCCACCCCAGGTCTGCAAGTTTCTGACAAGCTCATACCTTTCCTGTGTCCACTACCAAGCTGGCTGCAGTCTTGTTGAAGAGATCACTCCACCAGTGGTTTGTAAATTCCTTGGCAGGGTCGTGTCCCACCTCCAGGTGAATAATAAATGAAAGTCAGTTTGAGCACTGCCCACCTGCCCTCACAGGTCCCCTCTCCCACTCATGCTGACCACCTCCCAGTCTTACCCCATGGGTATCTTGCTTCAGTGTCACCTTGAGGGCCTGGGTGATGCCATTCTCTTTCCTGCCCAGGCCCTTGCCTGCAGAGGACAGTGAGTGATTTATTTTGTACCCTGCCTTGAGCCCTCACCAAGTCTTCCTCAGCTTACCGCCATTCCTTACACCAGTCACTGGGTATACTCTGCCTTTCAGAAACCTACCTCACTCCATTCTTTCTAGTCCTGCCCACTCAATGAGTTCCTCTGTCTGAGCCAGACTATCTTTTTTTTGTCATATCTCTTTACTGCCTCCTCTAGCCTGCCCAACCACTTGTCCCTCATTATCTCCCACTGTCCAAAAATGGGAATTTTCCCATTCTTTCCTTTTCCAGATGGGCAGAAAAGTTGTACTTCTAAAGATTTCTCTTTAAACTCGTTTCTCCTATTACTGAACTGACATGGGGCCAAAGGGAGTTGGGAGGATATGGAAGAGGCTCTAGAATACCTTGAGTCCATCCATGCTTTAGCAGCTGCTCTTCAGCAAACTTCATCCCACGACTCTTGACCACTGGGGTGATACTCATGGTGGGCAGAGGGGCTCCCACATCAGGCTCTTACCAGGGAAGATGTGGTACCATCCTAGAATAGGTAAATAAGGGGCTGGAGATGCAGCTTAGACAGCAGAGTGCTTGTCCAGCACACACAAAGCCCCAGGTTTCAACCCCAGCATCATGTGAAATAAGGCATGGTGGCATACAAGTGTGATCCCAGCACTTGGAATGTGGAGGCAAGACATTCAGATCATCTACAACTCTATAGAGAGGTTGAGGCTAGTCTGTGCTATATGAGACCCTAAGTGAGTAAAAACGAAAGGGGTGGTATGATGGGCCTGGGGCTGTATCTTAGTCAGGAGAATGCTTGCCTAGCATGCATGAAGCCAGGGTTCAATCCCCTGCATTTCATAACCAGGTGTGGTTGTGCATGCCTGTAATTCTAGCACTGGGGAAGTGGCAGCAGAAGGATCAGGAGTTCAAGGTCATCCTTGACTACAAAGAAGCTTGAGACCAACCTGGAATACATGAGACTCTGCATAGTGCCTAAACTACATAAAGCTGCTGTGTAAAGCTTTTCTTTCTTTAAAAAAAAAAAAAAAAAAAAAGCTTATGTGTATGTATGTATACCAAAGTACATGAATATTCACTATATGCATGCAAGAACTGGAGTTACAGTTGTGAGCTGCCATGTAGGTGCTAGGAACTGAATCCAGGTTCTCTATAAGAGCAGTGAGTGCTCTTACCCACTGAGCCATCTCTCCATCCTCAGAATTTTTTTTTTCCTTCAAGACAGGGTTTCTATACATAGCCTTAACTGTCCTGGCTGTAGACCAGGCTGGCCTCAAACCCACAGAGATCCACCTGTGGACTCCCTGAGTTCTGGGATTAAGTGCACCACCACACCTGGCTCACTCCAGAATTCTTTTTTTCTTCTTTGGGGAACCCTCTTTCTGGTCAAAAGAGCCAAAACCTAATACAAAGCAGGATGAAGGAGCGCTAGTGTTCGTCCTGCTACCCAGATGTGTGGCATCAGGCTATGCTGAAGCCTTGATGTGAGATTTTTCATTTCACCTTGCTACCCTACTCAGGGTACAAAGTAAGCTGAGCATCAAACAGCTTAGGTGGTGTGATGGTTGTTATTAACGGACAACATGGCAGCAATCATCTAGATGGCAAGCCTCCAGTTACACCTGCAGAGGATTATTTAGATTAGTTAGCCTCTGTTCAGGTCTCTGAGGGATTATCCTTTTCAAATTAACTGAAGTGGGAAAACCTCAGTCAGTGGCACCATTCAATGGGCTTGGGCCCTGGACTAAAGAAAGCTACGCCAGAAAGATGGCTCAGTGGTTAAAGGTGCTTCCTGTCAAAACCGATGACCTGAGTTTAATCCTAGGGACACACTTGTGGACTGCACTCTTGGGAAACACACAGCAAGTGACACAGGAGCTTCTAGACTTAAGGAGCTTCTAGACTTAAGGAAAAGGTCATTGATCGGAAATTCAGTGGGACCAGAGTCTGCAGGGGAACTTAAATACAGAAGCCAGGCAGAGTGCTGATTATGCAGGTCACACAGGGCAAGGCCAGCACCTGTAACCAGGAAACTGGAGGTACGACTTGCATATGAGACTCAGACCTATGAAGTGCCACCCACTGCCCAGACCATAGCTTTAACACTAGCTCCCAAAGGCAGGCTTCTGGGAACCTGGGAAGGAACCCAGAGACTCAAGACTGAATCTAGCAAGCTAACCAAAGGCCAGACTGCTTTCACATTCTCCAACACCCCCCCCCCCACACACACACACACATTCCTCCTTTCTTTAATACCTGGTGTTAGTTTAGAGGCCCAGCTCTGTCCTGTTCTGCTTCTCTCTCCTTTTGCCTTTTCTCTTCCCAGAGAACACACACTCACCAGATCTACAGGACCTCATCTATGTTTCAGGTTCCCAGGGGCTGGGAAAGTCCTTCAATATTTTTCTGTTTGGTTATTACTGTGTTTCATAGTAAGCCTACTCTTTTATACTGACTGTGCAGGCTGCATTCTATTTCGGGAGAGCAATGGGGCTCAAGCTGTATGGTCAACCATCAGTCTAGCACAGGAAAACAGCACCTCAAACCCAGAACAACCTTGGCCCTAGTGTATATTGTAAACACTTCTGAAAGAAAAAACTTTTTTTTAAACTTGAAAAAAAAAATAATTTAATTATATGAGTGTTTTGTCTGCATGTTTGTGTACCATGTGCACACAGTACCCTCAGAAGTCAGAAGAGTATGTTAAGATGCTCTACAACTGGTATTATAAGTGGCTGTGAACTACCATGTAGGAGCTGAAAACTCAAGGTTCTCTGGAAGAGCACTAACTCTTAACTACTGACCCACTCCTGCCCATTAAATAAATTCCACCAATGATATAATCCCTGATGTGCAAATCTCAAGGAACACAAAACACCAAAGTAACAAAACTCCAAAAACTGAAGAGACCAGGAGATTAAAAAGTGGTCAGGACATTAGTACAGGACTTCAAAAGCACCATTTGTACTTCTAAGCCCAGCAAGAGCCAGCCAGTCTAATAAGATGTTAGAGACTCTGTTTCAAAAAACAGCTGGCTAATTCCTAAGGAATTGACCTATGGCCCCCATGTGTATGCACACCTATACACACATGACATTCCTGCACATGCACACATGTGCACAAACACACAGAAAGAAGCAAACAAATACCCCAGGGGCTAAGAGCACTGGCTGCTCTTCCAAAGGACCTGGGTTTGATTCCCAGCACTCACAAACTTTAGTTCCAGAGGATCAGGCACCTTCTTCTGGTCTCCTCAGGGAACCAGTCATACATGCGGCACACAGAGGTACAAGCAGACAAAACACCCATACACAAAAATTCTTTTTAGATTTATTTATTGAATTAAGCCACTAAATCTGTAGTAATTTGTTACATAGCAATGAAACTAATGCACAAGATAGCAGCTGGCAAGAGTCTATTGGGGAGATGAAATTATTGGTGTGATGTATAAAACAAGTGGGGCCTGGAGATATAGCTCAGTGGCTCAGAGCACTGGCTGCTCTTGCAGAGAATAGGGGTTTGGTTCCCAGCAAGTACAAAGCAGCTTACAACTCCCCACACCCACTTACTGGCATCACACATGCACTGAATATATATACATACAAGCAGGTGAAACACTTGTGCACATAAAATAAAAATTAAATTATTTTAAATAGCCAGCTGTGGTGATAGACACTTTTAATCACAGTGATAGGGAGACAAAGATAGGTAAATCTTGGCCTGCCTGGTCTACAGTTTCAGGACAGCCTGAGCTGTTATACAGAGAAACCCTGTCTCAAAAAATTTAAATGTAATAAAACCACAATTCTACCAACCCTGTGTGTGGCATATCTTTAATCTCAACACTTAGAAAACAGAGACTGGGGCTGGAGAGATGCTCAGTGGTTAAGAGCACTATCTGCTCTTCCAAAGGACCTGGGTTCAATTCCCAGCACCAACATGGAAGCTCACAACTATCTGTAATACTGATTCCAAGCGCTCTGACACCTTCACACTAATGCACATAAAATAAAATTAAATAAATCATTTAAAAAAAAAACGAAAAAAAAAAAAAAAACAGAGACTGACAGATCTCAGTGAGTTGGAGGCCATTCCCATTTACACATTGAATTCCAGGCCAGTAAAGAGGACATAATAAGACTATCTCAAATATAGATCAATGATAGATAGATAGATAGATAGATAGATAGATAGATAGATAGATAATATTAGATTGGATAGCAGTTCTCAAAATGTGACCCAGGGCCTCCTTTGGAATGAGACTTTTCCAGAGACCTATGAGGTCAAGCTCTTTTCTCAGAAATCCTCCCATATTACTTGCCTTTTCTCTCTTCTTTCTCCCTCCCCCTCTCTCTCCAAGGTTTCTTTGGGTAGTATTGGCTGTCTTGGAACTAGCTCTGTAGACTACTAGGCTTGCCTCAAACTCACAGAGATCTGTCTGCCTCTGCCTCTCAAGTGCTGGGAGTAAAAGCATGTACCACCAATGCCTGGCTCCCTCTTTCTTCTGACATCATAGACTATAGTTTCCCAGGTAACACACCAGTGATAACATTGCTTTGTTAAGGGAATATACTCTTGTGTATGTGTACTCCAGTGTCTAGGAACATTTTCCAATTCTGCATAGCTAAATGCCAGCAAAGCTCACAAATGTTTTTTTCCCCCAAGGGTTTCTCTGTATAGCTCTGACTGTCCTGGGACTTGCTCTGTAGACCAGGCTGGCCTTGAACTCACAGAGATCCTCCTGCCTCTGCTGGTATCAACGGCATGACACACCACTGCCTGGCTGCTCACAAACCCTTTAAATTGGGGCAGGGTATTAGTAGGTGTCTCAGGAAGAATCTCATTTCTATCCACCCTTCCACTGAAAAGGATGATTACATGAAACCCGAATGATAACTCAACCTGAGCACAACAACAGAAAAACAGGGTGAAGAAGTGGTCTTACCCTTTTTTTTTTTTTTTTTTTGAGATAAGGTCTAATTAGCCTGGCTGGCCAGGGATAGACAGGTGCCTGCCTCTCTTCCTTGCCTTTTGAGTTCTACCTTGCTTCTTGATATGGAAACACAAGTAAAATTTAGATGCTGAGGTCATCTTACAACTGCCACATCTCAGAAATTATCTCTGACTATTTTAACAGTAATAATAACCATACTCCACACTTGTAGTGCAATGACTTAACACCAACCTGCTACTAACTGCTTCACATGGATCCTCTCTCTGTAAAGAATTATTTATTATGTGTACAGTGTTCTGCCTACATGTATGCCTGCATGCCAGAAGAGGGCAACAAATCTCATTCTGGATGGTTATGGGCAAACATACGGTCGCTGGGAATTGAACTCAGGACTTCTGGAAGAGCAGCCAGCGCTCTTAACCTCTGAGCCATCTGCCCAGCCCCCGGATCGTCTCATTTATGCCTTCGAACAATCTTATTAGAAGGTATTACTTATCCTTAATTTACGAAGAAATCGAGCACTGATAATTTTAGTTACTAGTTGAAACCAAACTGGCAAGCAGTAGATCCAGGATTGGTCGAAAGCAATTTCAGAAGCAGCTACTTTGGGACTTTACAGCTTGTTGCGCTCTCTCCTCTACGTAAGACTTTCCACATCCTATTCTCTGTCACAGTAATTAAAAACCACACTCCCCGGAATTCGGAGACACACTTTATTTCCCAGCCCGTGACAATTACAGCGAGAATGCGTTCTGCGTTGAACAGAATGACACAAGCAGAAATCGCGTTTAACGCACTTGCAATGGACAGGCGTGGGCAGACGCAACCAGATCTGTGAAGGCTGCAAGTACACTGTGAGGTGCTGTCTCCTCTCCAGCCAGTTTTCAGAGCCACCCGTTTGCAGCAGCCCAAAGGGGCCACAGCCGCAGTATCAGCAGGGTAGAAATACTCTCAGATCTTCGTCTTTGCTCCCGCCCCTGAGGAAAGTAAGCCCCTTACCGTCAGGACGTAGTCCTCCCTGTAGAAGCACGTGTCACGGCCGACTTGGGCGCCACCATCTTCCCGGAAGTGCACTTCGGTCCTTCTAGGATACGGAAGGCATAGAGATGCCCTGACAGAGGCCACGCCTCCAGATGGTTGTCACGGACAAAGTGCAAGCTTCCTCTTTGTAGCCGCTGGAAGCCAGGGCTAGGTCCTGAACTCGGTTTCTGGTCCCTCCCCGAACCAATACCGAGCTTTTCAGAGGCCGTGCGACGCCTGAACTTTATGGTCACGAACACTAGGCTCTGTACCTAACTGAACCGCTGTAGTTCAGTTGGACCAGCACTGCTTGACACACTATGTTGGGTCAGGACATTCCTCGATACTTTCTGAGAGAGTTTTAGTCCTAGCTAATCTAAAACTTGCTTTGTAAGTCAGGTTGGCCTTGAATTTGCAGCAATCCTGCCTCTGCCTTCTAACCTCTGGGCTTATAGGAATACATCACCAAGCCCATTCACACATTGTGGGTTTTATTATAGTGTTCCAGGGCATGCCAAGAAAATTCTACTGTGAGGTCCTCCCTCAACTTTCAGCACCATTCCCCCTTCATCTCTTCTACTGGAGTCAGGCATAGTAGGACACACTTGTAATTCCATGACTTAGGAATACTGGATCAGGGGAATGGCTACAAGCTCTAGGTCAGCCTGGGCTATGTAAGGAGACTGTGTCTCAAAAAAAGAAGAAACTGATGGACATGGTGATGTGTTGGAGGATGTCTTTATACATTGTGTATTCAAATGCTGATTTCTGTACCCAGAGATCTGGTTGCAGTCCAGACTTTGGAATTGCCATTTTTATGAAACATCTCCTGTCTCAATGTTATATAAAAAGTGTTCTCCAGCAGTTCTGATTGATTAATAAAGAGCTGAACAGCCAATAACTGGGCAGCCAAACTTATAAATCCAAAGCTTATAATGTTGTATTTGTGTTAGCAAAAACTGACTTAAGATGTATGTTTAGTCACTTATGGCTTTGCTAACTTTTTAAGCTTTAGCTATTTTAAGAAAAAAAAAAAAAATATATATATATATATATATATTAAAAATACACCATAAGACGATTAGAAAAATGAGTTTTCCAGTGTCTTCATGGGCTGTATTTATGGTTCAAAATGTACTTGAAACTAAAATACTTCAATTCAAAAGCTCAAAAAATTTCTCTCTCTCTCTCTCTCTCTCTCTCTCTCTGAGACAAGGTTTCTCTGTGTAACCCTGGCTATCTGGACTTTCTTTGTAGACCAGACTGGCTGTGAACTCACAAAGATCTGGTATGAACTCATACCTCTGTCTTTCAAGTGCTGGGCTTAAAGGCGTGTGGCACCACACCAGGCTTTAGCTCAAAATTTCTAACAGATTGTAAAAATTCTACTCTTATGAGAGTTACTAAAGATAATTAAGACAAAATTATTGGTCAGTCACCTTTAAAATGATCAAATTCTTTAATATGTTTAGAACTATGTTTGTAGTCATGTTAAATACAAATGTAATTTATTTACAGAGGATGTGATGGCTATTCTTAGTTGTCAATTTAACTACATCTGGAATAATTGAGACTCAAGCTTCTGGATACACCTGTGAGGGATTTTCTTGACTGGATCATTTGAGGTGGGATTTGAGATAGGAAAACCCACTTTAAATCTGGACTACACTATGTGGTGGCAGCCTACATAAGGGTCATGGAAGAAGGAAGCTCTTGCTCGTTTCCTGCTTGGTCTCACTCTTACTTGCAAGTTCATTTGTTGGTATAATGTTCTTGTGGGATGTATATAATTTACCTTTGTTCATTCAAATGCTGATATCTCTACCCCACTATCTGGTTTTAATCTGGACATTGCATTGTGATGTTTATTCTAAGCATCACCCGTCTCAAATTTGTGTAAACATGTCACCATTTGTCCTCTGTATTTTCAATAAAACAACCAGCCAATGCTCTGCAATGGAGAGAATAGGGTGGGACATTCTGGTCTGGAGGGGAGGAGAAGGAAGCAAGTGGAGGGAGACAGCAGAGATGGGTAGGAGAGGACTTGGAACCACGAGGAGAGATGAATCAGACCTAAGATATGACTAAAAGCAGCTATAATGTTGGAAATTCTGAATGGGAAGAGGCTATGCAGGCTTGGAAGTTTAGGATGGAGTAATCATTGCCCAGCATTGTACTCTAGGTTAATTAGGTAAATCCTAGTCTCTGTGTGGTGATTTGGGTATACAGCTGGTTTAGGAATAACCACTGTTTAACTAAAAGATAAATCAATAATAAATATTAATAACCAACAACATTCATTCCTGCATTGGCATTAGCACTTCTTCAACATATAGTGATGACTAACTGAGTTGTCCAGCCTTGTGGACTAAACAACTATGGGAATCTTGGACTTTCATCAGGAGACCACCATTGTTGGAATAATTGGACCACAGCCTATCAGTATCTCTAATAAATAAACATGTGTGTGCATATAGTCATTTAAATATTTATCCTATCAGTTTTGTTTCTCAAGAGAATCCTGACTAATACAGGTTATTTTGGCTCGCAGTTTCACTTCCACAGGGTAAAATGCATCACAGTGTGTAAGTCAAGATAGCAAGAGCATGAGGTAGCTGGTCACATCACATTCATAATCAGAAAACAGAGTCTAATGAATGCTGCTTCTTAGTCCCCTTTCTCCACACACACACACACACACACACATATATATGAAAGATATATATATATCTTTCCAATTAAGAAAGTCCCCTTACAGGCCCAGAGTCCATCTCCTAGCAGGTGATTGAGTCTAGATCTCATCAAGTTGGCAACTAAGATTAATCAATTGTAGGCACCTTCACCTCAGTCTAGCAGATTGAACCCATTCTTCAGTTCCCAGATAAGTTCTGTTCTCGTATTCTCTCCAGACCTTTGAAAGCAAACTGAATGCAAGTGGGTCTCAGAATAGGTCTCTGGGATGATAGCAGGACTCCAGGCTTACAGAAGTTCTATGTTAAAATTGGACAGGTTTATTCCCCTGCAGGACATCTCAGGGTGTCTTTTCCATACATACTCATTCAGACTCATCTAGAAAAATTGTGGCAGCTCAGCATAGCTGTTTCTAGAAGCACCCATCCCAATCTTTGCTATTGGAAGGAATAAGTTGCATGTTAACCTCATTGCAGGACAAAAACAAATGTGTAACAAGGCCCCAGACTGTAGGCCCCCAGACCTTAACACAACTTACTCCATAATAGAAGTTCCATTCAGGCTGTAAAACTCAGCATGTAGACAGCACCACCTGCCAAAACTAAAACAAACACCAAATCTATCAAAGTCCATAGTTCAGGAAAAGTCTCTAAATAAACTTTTTAGCTTCTGGAGCTCTGCTTCTGACTAACTGTTCTTGTTAATTGAAGTATGTCAACCCAAAACATGTTGTGTGTGTGTGTGTGTGTGTGTGATTAAAAGCACACCCTGAGAAAGGCTCAAGGCTACACTGGGATCCCAAACACCCAGTGTAGTCACTGGCTGCCTAATAAATACTTTCTATTGGCTTAAACTCATGTCTAAGCAGTCTTTTATGGTGAGTATCTCACAACACATGGGGAAATAAGACCTTCCAAAAGTCAGTCCAGATCTGGTATAAGCAAAACCATAAAAACCTTCTCCTCATCTGCACCCACATCCTAAAGTTCTCAAACAACAGAGAAGCAAATAGCAATTACTCTGCCCTCAGTGTCTCTGGAACTGATATATGGGGATGCTGTGAACAGAGGAACCTTGTACACAAGCCTACCACCTGACTGGGTCCTCAGTCAAACAGTTATCTCCCTGTCCAAAACAATAGCCTCAAACACTGAAGGGGGCTAAGGGGGCTTCCAAGTGTTATATAGGAACTTGGCAGAACATCTCAAAATTATTTGGCAGAACATCAAATCTTATCAGGGTAGAGGTCATGGTATAGGGTGTGTAACATGTCAAATTCCAGAAAAATGGGTCAAGGCATGGTCAAATTTAAGTTTTTACAGAAAACAGGAATGAACTTATTTTGACCTTGTAACAAGATGGCTTTTAATCTTAAGATGGAGTCAGGCTGGTCCATCCTCCAATAAGGTCACACCTCCTAATCCTTCTCAAGTAGTGCCACTCCCTAATGATTAAGCATTCAAATATATGAGCCTATGGGGGCCTTTCTTATTCAAACCACCACATCTTAAATCAACTCTATTCCTATTTCCACAGGCTCATTCTGTCTCTCCTGCCTGCACTTCTTCTCCTCTCTCCACTGTTGCAGGAATCAATAGAAAGGTGTTGGGCTAATATTATATATTATTTGCCCTAAGATTATCATGGTGATATTAATTAACCTGCTATCACAAATAATGAGACACAAACACCTGTTAGATTTATAATTGCCTTATTTACCTTGGGCCAGGCAGATATTTCACTTGCCTGCTTCAATAACCTCACTACCCATATCCATGTCCCAGCTCCCATCCAATGCCATCCACCTTAATTCTCCTCAAATGGACTACCTTACATCCATAACCCAGTGGTACTTGCTTATATTCTCCATCTGGGCTTTTTTATGCCATTATTGGAGTCCTTCATTGGCCCATGTGGTGTTTTCTCCAGCTAACCCATCCTGATGTCCTTTTCCTTCTTCTCTTCCCATCTGTCTGCCCTTCCCATGATTCTTCGCAGGATTCTCCAAAGCCTGGGAACATTAGCCACATCTACCCCATTCTGTTCTGCCCAGGAACAGGCTGTTTAATCAATCAATCAATCAATCAGACGTGTCTAGGCAGGTTTACAAAACAAAGATAGGTGTACCTAGATCTTAAGTGCCAGTAATGAGGGTTAGACCAACCTCCAACACTCCACCTTCCTGAGCAGTCTCTCAGTTTCACTCTGTTTTCAGTCCACTAGTGATTATTTTTCAAAAGTTTCTCCAGGAATGAATGAGAGCAATTGCATGATCCATCACAGCCAATCAAATTAAAACTCTCCTCCTGCTAAATGATTAGATGACCCACCTCTTCAACACACCCTGAACTAACCCTCCTGACAATCACCCCCTCACCAATGAGGCAAAGTGTACAAAACTCTACCATCCCTAGGCCTCCACCCACAATCAGCAGGAAGACACCCCCCCAAAAAAAACTCCAGCTCTATTTCTGGAACCCCCCCATCCTCTGACCCATTCCTTATATCTTAAGAGTTGGGATATGTTAGAATATAGCCTAAATATGCTCTGAAGACCCTGACCATGTTGTAACTTTAGCCCCTCATTGCCATTGCCTAACTCAGTCAGCCACAATCACCTGTATTCTGGTAGCTGGGGCAAGGTACTTTCTAAATATAAAATGGCTTTGCATGGACAAACGACTCCAAAAACTTCAAGCTTACACATAGCCCCAGCAGATGCTATCTTAACTTTCCTTTCTCCAAACCCGCTATATAAACTTTAACTTTCACTCTTCAGCAGACAACCTTTTTCTCATTGCATTAGTCAGGGTTCTCCAGAGAAACAAAACTGATAGAAACAGTGAGCTTTGAGACCCAGGAGAACAAGGTGGGCTAACAGAGTGAGCGGTCAAGATCTTAAATTATCTAAAAGGGCAGTTGGGCAAAAATTTGGTTTAATGGCCCACCTAACACAGCAGTGGATTGACAGTTGCAAGCAGATGGTGGGTGACATGATTGTTCATAAGCAACATTCAGTCATTGTATCTTCAACAGCTCTGAGAAGAGCTCCTGGACCTCTGGGCCTCCCCTAGGTTGGGGAGAAAACATAATGTCAGGAAAGACCACCCCCATCCCCAAGCTCTGCCCTCACAGCCTCCTTTGGTTCTGAGCAGGTACTGGGCGATTCCTCCTCAAGGGTTCCAAATAATGGGATCAGAGTGGAGAACAGTTTGCTAACTCTCAGCCAGGACTTCTAGGCTGGCAGGGCAGCGAGAAAAGGCACAGTCTCTTGCCAGGGCAGCGGCCTCTATATAGACAGTGCAAGGAGGCTATGCCATATTTTGCCTTCCTCTCTCTCTCTTTTCTTCCTGCCTTACTTCCACCTGAGAAGATGTGGTTGTTGCGAGTTACTGGTGTCAAGTCTCTCAGTTCCCCGACCTTCGCCCTTGCCTTTCTTCCTATTTGAACCCTCACTTTAACTTATCGCGGGCGCTTTAAGCGTGATGTCCTCGTGGCTCATTCTCAGGCTCACCCGTTGGTGTGACAAGATCCAGCCACCTAGAGAAAACTGTGGATCCAGATGTGTGAAAGTCACTGAAGTGGAGTGGAGCCCTGCCAATCACACCTACCCCTCCCTCAGCCCCTACAGTGGCATCTTGCCAGCCTTTCTAGCAACTCATGCGACCACCTGGTAGTAAACTGGCACCACGATTAACTTTACCACGGCCATCAAGCCGGAAGCTGCGGACGGAGAGTGCAAGCCTCTCTGGGGAAGAGATGTGAATTCAAACCAGAACACTCACCTGCTTCCTCTTCACAGGGTCGGGAAACCTGAGCTGAAAATAGCCTTGAGTACACAAACCGGCGTTTCAGCATGTGTTCTTCCCTCAGTCTTCCTCAGAGGTCTTCTGCAGCTAGAATAGTTCTGAGCTGGCCAAGCTCAGTCCTTCCCAGCTGTAGAAACTCAGTGTACCGCTAGAGGAATGAAGGCAGATGGCCCCAGAGCACTCTAGACTTGCCCCTCCTCTCCTCTGTTTGCCTTGGTAGGAGCCAATCGGATGCATCGGATTCGACTGTCCTGAATCCTGAGAGAGCAGACTCTTCTCAGCAGTGACGAATGAATAGGTCACGGGAGAAGAGGAGGGTTTTAGTATCAGGATTGGGGGGTGGGGAGGTACGCTTAGAAAAGGGCGGTCAACCTGGCTCTGAATAGTGTAACTTACCCCCTTGGCCTCTTGTTAGGTATGCCCAAATAAGTCTCTCAGACTTAGAAAGACCAAGAGAAGAGCAGAATTGTTAGCAGAAAAATTGTAGGGCTGGAGAGATGGCTCAGTAGTCCATAGCACTGGCTGCTCTTCCAGAGGACCACCTGTAACTCCAGTTCTAGGGGATCTCATGCTTTCTTCTGACCTGTACAGGTAGCAAACATGTATGTGATGCACAAACATACATACAAGTAAATCACCTATACACATTTAAGGGGACAGGTACTGGCGGGGGGGGGGAGCGGTGCTTAAATGCCTTTAAACCCAGCATTCAGGAGGCAGAGGCAGGTATGAGTTTGAGGCCAGCCTGGTCTACACATCAAGTTCCAAGGCAGCCAGGGATACATAGTGAGACCCTGTTTCAAACACAAACAAGAAGTCGAAAAGTTTAAGTCATAATTTAGCTTTGGTGCACAGCATCATCTTTCTCATCTTTAGGGGGCTAGAAAGATAGCTCAGTGGTTGGGAGCCTACACTGAAGAGCTCCTGGACCTCTGGGCCTCCCCTAGGTTGGGGAGAAAACATAATGCCAGGAAAGACCACCCCCATCCCCAAGCTCTGCCCTCACAGCCTCCTTTGGTTCTGAGCAGGTACTGGGCGATTCCTCCTCAAGGGTTCCAAATAATGGGATCAGAGTGGAGAACAGTTTGCTAACTCTCAGCCAGGACTTCTAGGCTGGCAGGGCAGCGAGAAGAGGCACAGTCTCTTGCCAGGGCAGCGGCCTCTATATAGACAGTGCAAGGAGGCTATGCCATATTTTGCCTTCCTCTCTCTCTCTTTTCTTCAGCAATTTAACCTGAGTTCAGTTCCCAGGACCCACATCCAGGGGTCACAACTATTTGTAACTCTAATCCAGGGGGACCTGACACTCTGGCCTCCTCAGTAGCTCCCATGCACTTACTCATATTCAGACACATGAATGCCTAAAAATAATAAATGAAATCTCTTTTTTTTTTTCCCTGAGACAGAGTCTCTCTATGTAACCTTATCTGTCTTGAAACTTGCTATGTAGTTCAGGCTGGCTTCAAAAGAACTGCCTGCTTCTGCCTCCTGAATTTTGAAATTAAAGCCGTGTGCCACCATTCCCAGCTAAAAATAATAAAATCTTAAAAAGGAAAGGAGGAGGAGAGAGGAAGATGAGGAGGAGAAGAAATTTGAAGCCTCAAGTTCTTCTAAATTGCTGTCTTGGTGCATGCAGGTCCTCTGCACTGATAGAAGTCAAAAGTCTTATCCTGAATTGTTGATGGGCACCTGTCTATATGGTGTACAGAGATGAAAACCAAGCCCAGTTTACACCTCAGCTCTGTGCATGTGTATGAATTGTAACTCAGTCTGTAGGAGTGGACTTCAGCAGGAGTTGAGGCCAGGGAGACTGTACAGGAAGTAGATTTCTACCTAAGAGATTAAGGATCCTCCTCTCCAGAATTATTTTTAAGATTTACTTATTTATTTTATGTATATGAATGTCCTATCTGCACATTTGCCTGCATGCTAGAAGAGGGAAACGGATCACGCTATAGATGGTTGTGAGCCACCATGTGGTTGTTGGGAATTGAACTCAGGACCTTTCGAAGAACAACCAGTACTCTTAACCACTAAGCCATCTCTCCAGCCCCTTCTCCAGAAATTTATTTTTATAATTTTTTTTTTCAGGCAGGGTTTCTCTGTGTAGCCCTGGACATCCTGGAACTATGTAGACTAGGCTGGCCTCTTGAACTCAGAGAGCCACCTGCCTCTGCCTCGCAAGTGCTGGGATTAAAGGTATGTGCCACCACAGTCGGCTATTTTTATAATCTTATTATTTTATATGTGTGAGAGTTTGCCTGTATGTATGTCTGTGCATCATATTTGTGCCTGGTGCCAGAAGAGGGTGTTGGATCCCGTGGGACTGGAGTTATAGTTGTGACCTGCCGTGTGAGTACTGAGAATTGAACCCAGGTCCTCTGGAAGAACAGCCAGTACTGTTAAGCTCTCTCTCTCTCCGTTTTTATTTGTTTTTGAGAAAGGTTTCACTCTATAGCTCAGGCTGGTCTCAAACTCATGGCAATCCTCCTGCTTCAGCATTTCAAGTGCTGACATTACAGATCTGAACCACCATCCTTGGCCTCTTCAGAATTTTAAAATGTTATTATTATTATTGTATGAGGGACTGCAGGTTGAATTTGGGTGTGGAGGTCACAGAACAACTTTTGGGAGTCAGTTTTATCTTTCCACTGTGGGTTCTGGTGATTGAATTCAGGTTACCAAGTTTGTGGTTTTACCTAATGAGTGTCTCACCAGTCCTCCTGAAAATTTAAACAAAGTTTATCCAGTGGTACAGAATGGAGGAGGAATACGTAATCAGATGACTTCTATTTTAGAGAGCTTCCAAGGAGCTGGAGAGATGGTTCAGTGCTTAAGAAAGAGCACTTGTTGCTTTTGCAAAGTACCTAGCTTCCATTCTCAGCACCCAAGCTGTGGCTCTCACAAGCCATAACTTCAGTTCCACGGTGTCTGGTGCCCGTTTTGGCCTTTTTAGGCACTACAGGTGTGGTACACAGACATATCCACCACCGTACATCTAAAATCAACACTCATACATTTAATAATAATAAAATACAATAATAATAATAATAATAATAATAATAATAACAATAACTGAAGAACTTCCATCGTCCCTCCTTGCTAATAAGAGTCTCATGTCCCCTCCCAAGGACAGAAATATTTTCATGTGATTTCTACCTCTCCAACAGCAATCCAAGTTGCTCCCCTATGGCCCATGGATGAGGTGGTTCCCCAGTATCATACATAATCTCTTTATAATCCTAGAGTTTGAAGCAGAGGGTGCCCCATTTCAATCTTCGCCTGTCCTCTTCTCCTTGGATGTCAATTTCTGCTCTGATCCAATCATCCACCCAGGCCTTTTTCCGGTGGTTTGTGCCAGCCTGTCCTGCATCCCACATCCCCAGCTGTTGACATTTCCATGTCATTGCCCAAGGGATGAATAAAGGGGCCCTGTTATCCAACAATAGAAGAGAAGGCAGAGACAATAGGAAATTGTGTTTCCAGTGGGGTGGGGAAAGAAAGGGACAGACAGACAGAAAGAGCCAGGGTCCTGAAGCAGCCTGACATCCTGAAAATTTGAGTCCCATCTTGAGAGTCTCTTCCAAAAGGCCATATGTAGCCTGGTACGGAAAGCACAGGTGAGGCCTTTGGTGAGGGGAGGGGCAATTCTGTTATTTGGATGAGGTTCATATAGAAATACAAAGCTGGATTCATACCTAGGGTTTGTCCCCACCCCTCCTGGCCCAACACCCTTGTACTTTCAGTCAGACTGTCCCATTCTAAGGATAGAAGTACCAGGGCCTGCTTTCTGCATTGTTCTAGGCAATTGCCTGGGTTGCTTGCTCTGTCCCCCATCATTCCAACCCAAGTCTTGACCTGGCCCTAGGACATCAAGTGCCACAGATGCAGTCATGGCTTAGTGTGTGTTGAATGAACATAAGCCTTAGAACCTTGGCTTCTTTGAGCACAGGAAATGAGCCTCTCTGGAAAAGCATCAAAGGAGCCACAGCACTGATCAGGTGCCCAAGCCCTGAGACTTTAGGGTGCTTTGAACCCCCAGGATCCTTAACAGAACCTCCACTGGAACTTCTTCCTTCAGGAGGACAGGAAGCTGCTGCACACTGCTGCCTCCCTTTGTCTCTGAGAAAAGATCATCTTACAGGTAGGCAATGGGCTGCCAGCTACTGTATTGGTTTCTCTCTGCAAGGGGTATGAAAATGGTATATGTGTGCTTATCTTGAAATACAGAACTCTAGATCAGTGACTAAGAGCTTGAGCCGGTCCAATCGATCTGGATTCAAACCCAGCAAACCCTCCTTTCACAGCTGTTTCTGCACCTGTGGCAGTTCATTGCCTCCCTGGATGGCCAGAGGAGTAAAACCATAAGAATATACTGAAGTGCCTAGCTCGGATTGGATTTTAAAACACGTCAAATGGTAGCTTATCCTGGATCACTCGTGGTCTATTTTTTTTTTAATTTTTATTGCATTTTTTTCTTAAATTTGTGTTCGTGTGTGGTATGCTTGTGCCGTGCTTGTGTGAATGGATTCAGAGGTCAACCTGTGGGAGTTGGTTCTCTCCTTTGAACATATGGGTTCCTAGGAAATGAACTCAGGTCACTGGGCTTGGTGGTAATCACCTTTACACACTGAGCAATCTCACCAGCTCCTAAAGATAAAGGTCACTATTATTTACCAGGTTGTCCTATATGGACTCTGGTCCCATACACTTTTTTTTTTAATTGAGAGTCTCTCTGTTAAGCCCTAGCTGCCCTAGAACTCTCCATGTAGACCAGGCTGGCTTTGAACACAGAGATCCACTTGCCTTTTTCTCCTGAGTGCTGGAATTAAAGATGTCTGCTACAATGGCACTTCCCTTTTTATTATTGGAAAGTTGTTTTTTTTTTTTTTTTTTTTTGAATTGTATGTATGCTAATATGGGTGTGTGCTCATGAGAGTAGGTGCCCTAAAGGTCCAGAAGAGGGCACCAGATCCCCTAGAGCTGGAGTTACAAGCAGTTGTGAGCTGCTTGGCATGGGTACTGGGAACCAAATTCAGGTGTCTCCAGGCCCAATTGAAAAGTTCTTTTTTGTTTGTCTGGTTGGTTGGTTGTTTTTTTGTTGTTGTTGTTTTGTTTTGTTTTGTTTTGAAATAGAGTTTCTTTGTGTAACCCTGGCTGCCTCTGCCTCTTGGGTGCTGGGATTAAAGGCATGAGCCACCACCACCCTGTGGAAAGTTTTTGATGTAACTACTCTGTTTCTCCAGCTACAAACTGGTCTTTGGAGCCAATGCATTAAATATTCTTCAAGGCCTTTACCCAATCCCATTATCCTCATCCCTCCTGCCCTTAACTGTTTAATAGTTTAACAGTTAAGCAACTATTTAATTGTTTAATAGTTCATAACAAAGCAAACACACCTTGGCCCTGTTCTATCTTCTAAAGCATGCATTACATGCCAGGCACTATTTCAAGTGTTTCACAAGTACATGACTAAGTTGCCTAATTCTTGCAACTGCTAAGTGTAGTGTGTTAGTCATGCTTACTATTGCTATGACCAAAATATGCTACAGAAGCACCTTAAGGAAAGAGATTAAGTTTGGTTCACAGTTCCTTGCGGGGAGTGTATAACTGCAGTTCTCACCTGGATGGGCCAGGAAGGGAATCCTGGGGCTTCATGTATTTTCTTCTTTTTCCTTTTTTTTTTTTTTTTTAACTTGGTGCTCTGCCCATGAGAATTCATTGCCCAGGTTCAGGGAAGGTTTCCTATTTAGTTTGTTCCCTTTGGCTACATCCTAGCAGACGGAAACAGAGGTTTTCCTCCTCAGAGTCTACTATGTAACTCTAAGTCCTATCACCTTGACAGTGAGGACTAGCATCACAGGTGGGTACTACAATTACTGCTCTTCTGATCATGACACTGAGGCTGGGGCTAAGTTACCTGTTTAAAGTTATGCAATAAGCATATGGAAAAGCCCAACTTGTACAATGAATTTAAATGAATAAAAGGAAGTTAAGGGGTCATCAGTCCACCACTTGTTTTTTAAAAAGTTCAAAGAAACTACAACGGCTGGAGATATGCCTCAGAGGTTAAAGAGCACTGGATGCTCTTCCAGAGGACCTGGGTTCAATTCCCAGAACCCACATGGCAGCCCACATCTGTCTAACTACAGTCCCAGGGGACCTGGTGCCATCTTCTGGCCTTTATAGGCACCATACACACATGGCGAACAGACATGCAGGCAAAATACCCATATACATAAAAATAGATAAAAAAAATTTAAAAAGAATAGAAACTGCAGGGGGAGGGGAGAATTCATGGCCCAGACAACTGCATTTGAAACTGTTTCTGTAACTTTTGTAACTTGTATAGTGTAACTGTATAATGCATTGTAACTTCTGGAAAATCTGTGTCAGCCAGTAGTTACCCAGCCTACCGTGCATCTGCACTGCTTTCAAATTCAGGTAGTTTAGACAATGATAAGGGTCTCAGGAAAAAGCTCCTAGTCTGCTCCAGTAGACTTCATACATCACAGTGAGACAGGCTCGAGAATGAGAGGAGGTTTTCCAGAAGTAAGGCCCAATTTTATGTCTCTCAAGTCCAGTGTGCCTGGACCCCAGTGCAGAGTCAGGGTTAGGGTAGGGCAGACGTTGACAGCAGGGAAGGCTGGATCCTGGAGCCTTGGAAGCTGCATGAAGGTTCAACTTTATCAGCAGGCGAGAAAGCCAGTCTTTCAAACAGGAGAAATCATACTGAATTTGGCTCTGGGATAGAAAGTGATGCTGGCAAATGAATACAGAGATTCAAATCCCAATGCTAGGCTTGGGAAGCAGCTGGGATAAGGAGTCCCAGAAAGGAGATGCTAAGTCAAAACCTGCTGACTGAGAAGACCTGTTATGTGCCCCATTGGCTCCCACCTGGACAGATGCCTCCATATACCCAGCAGAAAGCTGATCCTCAACTCTGCTCTCCTCATCCTCCCATACAGTGGTAAGGGGTGCCTACTATCTGTGCCCTGCAGACAGTGCCTGCTGACACCATCATGCCAAGCCGGATACCTGTCCCTGTGCTCTACTGCTTCCTTCTCCCCTGGGCATTCACCATCCTTCACAAAGCCTTGGGGAACCCGGGTAAGACCCTAGCCCAGCCCCCAATCAGTACACTAGGGGTGGGAATCAAGGGATGCAGACCTAGAAAGGGAGCTACTGAAAGTAAGTAGGAAGAATCGGTAGGGAGAGGTGAGGGTGGTGCCAGTGAGCGGAGGAAAGCCTCTGGGAACTAAGTCTGAATGGGCACTTGGGGCAGGGAAGATAAGAAGCCTGCCACTGTGGCCCCTCTGCTTAGCCCTCCACCCGGGTCCCCACTATCTCCTGCCCCCCATCCATGAGGTCATTCACTCTCGTCGTGGGGCCACGACCACACTGCCCTGCGTCCTGGGCACCTCGCCTCCCAGCTACAAGGTACGCTGGAGCAAAGTGGAGCCCGGGGAACTCCGGGAAACGCTAATCCTCATCACCAACGGAATGCACGCCCGGGGCTATGGGCCCCTGGGAGGACGCACCAGCTTGCGGAGAGGGCATCGGCTAGACGCCTCCCTGATCATCAAGAATGTGCGCCTGGAGGATGAGGGCCGGTACCGCTGCGAGCTCATCAATGGCATCGAGGACGAGAGCGTGGCACTGACCCTGCGCCTAGAGGGTGAGCTATTCTGCACCAGCCCTGCTCTTTGTGGCCACCTCGCCTCTGCCGGCCTCGCTTGCCGGCGCTCCCCGCCGCATCCAGCTGCCCTACCCAAGCTCTCCACTCCGCAGGTGTGGTGTTTCCGTACCAACCCAGCCGGGGCCGCTACCAGTTCAATTACTTCGAGGCGAAGCGGGCATGTGAGGAGCAGGACGGACGCCTGGCCACTTACGGCCAACTGTACCAGGGTGAGCGGCGGATCCCCGGCTGATGACCCCCGGCTGCACACCGGCCCCGGCGAGCTTGGAGGGAGCTCGAGTCTGGCTTGCGCCGGTAATTCCCCTTCTCCCTGCCCCCTCCTCCGCCAGCGTGGACCGAGGGGCTAGACTGGTGCAACGCCGGCTGGTTGCTAGAGGGCTCGGTGCGCTACCCTGTGCTCACCGCGCGCGCACCATGCGGCGGCCAAGGACGGCCAGGCATCCGCAGCTACGGACCCCGCGACCGCAGCCGCGATCGCTACGACGCCTTCTGCTTCACCTCGGCCCTGGCAGGTGAGCCAGCTGTGTGCAGGCGGCGCCCGGCCAGGGGTCACCGCCAGGAGGAAAGATTCGGCTAGGCCGAGTGAAAAGACCTCAGGAGGTGGTTGGAGTTGACGCTATGGACAGGGCGGGGACCGTTCAGAGCCCGGGGTAGTAGGCGGAGCCTGGAGAAAGGATGGGGCGGGGCCCAGTGTCAGAAGCGGAAAGGAAGTGGGTAGTGCCGCAGCCTAGGCGCGTTGTTCCTCCGGACGTCCGAGAACACCGTCTTGCCAGGGTCTTGCCATTTCCGGAGCTTCGTGGCCACGGCCCCGTCCCAGGCCCGCCTGCTTTGGCCGGCCGGTCACTCGCTCACGTTCCTAGGCCAAGTGTTCTTCGTGCCGGGGCGGCTGACGCTTTCTGAAGCCCACGCGGCTTGCCGGCGGCGCGGAGCTGTAGTAGCCAAGGTCGGGCACCTCTACGCCGCCTGGAAGTTCTCAGGGCTGGACCGGTGCGACGGAGGCTGGCTGGCGGACGGCAGCGTTCGCTTCCCCATCACCACGCCACGGCCGCGCTGCGGAGGTCTCCCTGACCCCGGGGTGCGCAGCTTCGGCTTTCCCCGGCCCCAGCAGGCGGCCTACGGGACCTACTGCTACGCCGAGAAGTAGGAGCGCACTGCCCGGCCACGCGCGACAGATGGCGGGTCCCCTCTAGACAGAAGAGGGCCGAGCCCCACACCTGCCTTCCCAGGCCAGCGCGGCGCTCCGGGCTTCCGGGTAGAGGGGCGCCCCGGGCATTAACTGACCAATAAAATAACGTGGCATCTCCTCTGTTCGATAAGTTGTAGGGCTTGGAGTACGTGAGTGAGAGGGTCTGGCCCTGGACCCAAAGTACCTACTGCACGCCTACATTTTGAAGGTTTTATTTATAGAGGTTTTATTGCCTCTATGGTCCAGCAAAATACGGGGTTTGTGATGAGAGGGTACCAACAGCGCAAAGGAGAGGAAAGCTCAGCAGGCCCAGCCTGTCTTTATGTCTCTCGCCATCTCCCCAAAGGGTTCTCATTCAAATTTTCCGGTAGCACTCCAAAGTCCACAACTGTTTGGACACTACAGAATAGATACTCCATGGGTCTAAACACATTTTTAATGAACTTACAATTTCTAAGGTCTGCTTTATTTAGTTTATTAATTTTACTTGTTTATTTTGAGACAAGGTCTCTCAATTCATCCCTGGCTCTCCTGGAACTCCCTATTGTTGATCAGGCTGGCCTTGAATTCACATAGATCATTCTACCTCTGCCTCCTGAGAGCTGGAATCAGACCCAGCTAAAGTCTTCAATTAAAGACAGTAAATTCCGTGTGGAGTGAAAGCACAGCAGTTAAGAGAACTTGCTGCTCTACACCATCTGTAACTCCCATTCCAGGGTCTCCAACGCCCTCTTTTGACCTCCATGAGTACCAGACAGGCACATGGTACACTTGCATACTATAATAAATCCACTAGGGAAAGATACAGGCAACTATGCCCATTAAGACAATTACAAGTAAACAAGTCCTTGTTTTTGGCCTGTGATCAGGAGTGGGTTTGTACCGCTGGGTTTCTCAGTGCCCAGGCTCAGGGTACAGCATTTTTAAAGGCACAGACCACAGTTACACCAGTGTTAGATGAGAGTCAGGGTAAACTTTAAACACTTGTTTTTGGCAGAACATAGTAGTTATTTTATGTATAACATACCAATTATTTTTTTACTTATACCTTCTTCATTTATTGTAAGCATTAATTATTTTGATTAATACATCTGGACCATGGTCAGAGTCATGGAAATCCCCAATGTGTAGCTAAGCCAGATGTGACTGTGGAGGAAGGGGCAGAGAGCTCAGAATGGAAACAGGACAAGACATTCTTACCTTAACCACTTCACTTATTCATTTATTTAAGTTACTTTTAAATCGTTGATTTTTATTAAGGGTAGCAATCAGTTAATTAGGGAGGGCCCGATCATTACACCTATGAGAATAAAAACAAACAGACCAAGGGGACCTGTGAGTCATGGATTCCAAAGAAACAGCTATGGTACCAGGGATTATTGGTCTTTTTATTATTTTTTGTTTGTTTGTCTGTTTGTTTCGTTTTGTTTTGTTTTTGAGCTGGGGTTTCACTCTTTAGCCTTTGGCTGTCCTGGACTCTCTTTGTAGACAAGGCTGGCCTTGAACTCACAGAGATCTGCCTGCTTCTGCCTCCCAAGTGCTGGGGCTAGAGGTGTGTGTTCCACTGCACCCAGCTGTTTATTATTTCTAAGGGCCAATTTATTTGAATAGTCAGGAATGCATTTTAAAGAAATCAGGTAAAAAAATTAAATCTATTGTTTTTAGATACAGCAGAACTAATAAAATTTTGTCAGAGTCCAGTCCTGGAGAGCTGTCAGGGTTACCCTATAGGAGGCATTACAGCTAACATTACCATGAGTCCAGAGGGAGGAAGGGGCACTATAATCCTTAAAGAAATAACCCTGAACAAACCCTGCCAGACCCTCACCAAGGAACTTTCAGTTGCCCTAAGACTTGCTGAAATCCCCTGTCCTTATGCTGAAACTTCAGTCCTTTCCCCCCTCACTGCCATTGCCTAACTCAGTCACCCTCTAACACCTGCTTCCTGATAGTTGGGACAAGGCAGTTTCTAAAGCTAAAATGGCCTTGTCTGGACAAAGCTCCAGGAAATAGAGACCGCAGAATGGCAGGTAGCCTCATGCAGCTGCATTTAACATCTCCATTTCCAAACCCCTTATGTAAATCCCAAGCGTTTCCTTCCCTTTTTGAACTCACCCTTTCCCCTCAGGAGAATGTCTGCTATTGGCTGTTTGAAATAAACAGTCTCTTTTGCCCAGGTTAGATTGGTTTCTTTTTACTTCTGTCTCTTTATGATGCCTCAGGGATCTAACCATCCCTATCTCCAGGTGTCCACTGTCAGATTTCTTAAGCTTTACTGTGGGAAGGCCCCCTGAGTTCAGGATTTCTAACAGCAGGCTGGAGAGCTGGTCTCCTTTGTCTCTGGAAAGTGACTCTGAGAGGCTGGTCCAGGATTTTTCCTTCTCAGGCAGTGTTGTCTTCTTTACCCAGTCATGGTGGGTCCACGTGACATGAATAACTTAGTGCTTGAATGAATGTCCTTAGTTGAGCCTGCTCTGCTGACTTACCCTGTGGTGGAGCCTGTCTTATACTATTTGAAACCCTCTGGGGATTTCTAACAGAGGAAGAATTGAAAGCCAGGGTAGGAGGCAGGGACAATTGCAGGTCCTATCCCAGGCAGGTGGCAGCCTTAAGTACAAGAGTCCTGTGTTCACAGCATCCCCTTATGTCAGTTTAGAAGGCACTGAGAGCAGAGTAATTGCTATTTGCCTCTCTGTTGCTGGAGACGTTTAGAATGTAAATGCAGATTGTAAAATCCTTTTCTGGAGATGGGAGAGTCCATCCCTTGTCATTTGAGACATGAAGAATCATTCATTTTCTCTGTAGATAAGGAGGAGGGTTTCCAGGTCTGACCTACACAGCCAGAGACAGGAGCAGCAGACTTCCTGTAAGTATAATTCCCATTCATTCTTCTCCTGTAATGAAGCTAACATGCACTTGCCTCTGATGGGGTCTGTGTCCCATCCAAGGAAGAAGGTATTATTTGAGCCTGGGGATGTCCTGCCATACAAGTGTATTATAATTTAAGCCATTTTATTCAAATTTTCATAACCATCTTTTAAAATATACCTGATTTTAATATTATTTTATATTAAATAAACTTTAACTTTACTTTAAACTTGTTTTGAGTTACATGTTTTAGGCTTAACTGACAACATAAACAGCTACATAATGGGAACTATAAATTAGACTCTCCCTCTAAGCTTATCTCTGTAAATTAATTACATTTGTTCTTAGCTTGACTACAAACACAATTTGGGACACATTAACGGTATTTGATTACTTATAAGATCATTATCTTTTCAGGAGAGTGAGACAGAGTTTCTCTGTGTAGGACTGGCTATCCGGGAACTGAGAACTTTATCTATAGACCAGGCTGGCTTTAAACTCAGAGATCCACCTGCCCAGGTGCTGGGATTAAAGGTCTGCACCACAATGCCTGGCTTTATTATCCTTTGTGTCTTAAATGCCTTTAACAGCTTACAATAAATTAGTAATCCTCATAAGATTAGAATTTTATAATTCTATTCCTAAGATTTTTCAGCCTTAAAAATTATAATTTTTAAAATTGAATCTCAATATTAAACTAAACTTTAAAACATAGATATACGAACACAGGGAACTTCCCAGAAAATCATACTCCAACCAAGGACTATTCGTGGAGATGACCTGGAACCCCTGCACAGGTGTAGCCCATGTCAGTTCAGTGTCCAAGTGGGTTACATAGTAATGGGAAGAGGGACTGCCTCTGACATAATCTGATTGGCCTGCTCATTGATCACCTCCCCCTGAGGGGGGAGCAGCCTTACCAGGCCACGGTAGAGGACAATGCAGCCACTTTTGATGAGAACTGATAGACTAAGATCAGAAAGAAGAGGAGAACCTCCCCTATCAGTGGACTTGGGGAGGGGCATGCATGCAGAAAGGGGAGGGAGGGTGGGATCGGCAGGGGAGGAGGGAGGGGCTTATGGGGGGATACAAAATGAATAAAGTGTAATTAATAAAAAAATTTTAAAAAAGAAAAAAATAAAATTAAAAAAAAAACAGATATACTTCATGAAGAAACTAGGAACTTCATTTTCTGATCCTTTTATAGCACTTTTATAAAATATCACAGTTCTTTTATATGACTCAATTTCTTCAAATGGCTAAAACTTAATAAAATTAGCAAAGACATAATGATTAGACATATAACTTTAAGTCATTTTAAAGCATGAATAGGTCATTATAACCCTAAGAATTTATAAATGTTAATCATCAAACATATATAATTCTTAAATCACATCCTCCATAAACCTTGTGAAGCTTTCTCAGATCTTCTGTGAGTTGGCTTTGAGCTTTCATGGTTTCACACTCATCTATCATTTTGATCATTCTTAGGGCATCTCTCACGGCATGATTGCACATGCATGCAACCCAGCACTTGGGAAGCAGACTTTGAGGCTACCCTGGTTTACAAATCGAGTTCCAGGACAGCCAGGGCTACACAGCGGAAACCCTATCTTAAGAAAGCCAAGACAACCCAAAAAAACAAAACAAAACAAACAAACAAACAAAACAACCTGTCTTTGTTTGTGAAGCTACATCATGACCAAGACAATTTATAAAAGACAGCATTTGATTGGAAGCTTGCTTGTAGTTTTGTTATGCCCAGTTTGTGAGACCCCCAAAGACCTCTGCTGCAAAACACTTGAGGGTTTATTGGATACAAGCTCAAGCCTGAGTCACAAAGCTTCCTGTGGAAGCATGAGAGGAATGTGGCAGGGTGGTCTAGGGAGAACAAGGTTTTTTTTTTTTTTTTAATTACACTTTATTCACTTTGTATCCCCCCCATAAGCCCCTCCCTCCTCCCCTCCCGAACCCACCCTCCCTCCCCCTTCTTCACGCATGCCCCTCCCCAAGGCCACTGATAGGGGAGGTCCTCCTCTCCTTCCTTCTGATCTTAGTCTATCAGATCACATCAGGAATGGCTGCTGATCTGTGGCCTGGTAAGGCTGCTCCCCACTCAGGGGGAGGTGATCAAGGAGCAGGCCAATCAGATTCTCTCAGAGGCAGTTCCTCTTCCCATTACTATGTAACCCACTTGGACACTAAACTGCCATGGGCTACATCTGTGCAGGGGTTCTAGGTTATCTCCATGCCTGGTACTTGTTGTCTTTGCAGGGGACCAGAATTTGGTTCCTAACACCCACATGGCAGCTTCCAACTGTCCTTGACTCCAGTTTCAGGGGATCTAGTTCTCTCTTCTGGCCTCTGAGGACACCAGGGACTTACTAAGTGCATATACATACATGCAGGTAAAACATTCATAAACTTAAAATACAAATGATAAACAAATCCTTTAAAATTGCTTTCCAAGGTGATAACTGCTAAACCATTTTGCTATAATTACTAAAAAAGAAGTCATCCCGAGATATCATGTAAGGCTCAGGGAGTGAGCAGATAAACAGCACCTCCAATAGCCAACAGCAAATGGGAAACTTGGACTCAGTTCTCCTCAACTTGGTCTCCTGGACATGCTATGGGTCTTGAGACATTGCACAAGCCAGGTAGCAAATTCCTTGTACACACAATTGCCTGTAGCAATTAATAACTACTGACAATAGTACAGCAGCCATCATCATCCTCATCATTTAGGATCAGCTAGATTACTCAGTCCTTAAATTCCAAAGGTTGTCCTTTCACCCAGGATTTCTGCTTCCTCATAGAGGGGTGCTTATCACTTTAACTATTCAGGGCCCTGGACTGCAGCCCTGGAATCCCAGCATTCTGGAGTCTGAGGAGGAGGACTTCCTGGAGTTGGGGTCCAGCCAAGTCTGCATAATGACTTCTGGGACAGCCTAGGCTGTTTTATGAAAATAAAAAATAAAAAGATAATCAAATGTCATCAATCATCCAGGCAGAAGAAAGAAAGGAAAGAGCATTGGAAGAATCTCCTACCCATGTCTCTCTTGGGTTTTCCCAGCCACAAGGGGGCAGAAGAGAACAACCTTACTTTGGTGGGAGAGCCCAAAGTTTGATAAACCACACCAGCTCTGGATTCTGGGTATATTGACAGCCACCCCTTTACACTTCCTGAGTTTGCAAAGTTCTGGTATATGGTGAAATTATAGTCCCAGAAAGCCAAGATCCAGGAGTCCAGCAAGTCAGACAGCAGGAGACTACCTTCCTTCAGGGCAACAGTATCAGGATTGGTCAAGAGATCATATCAAGTGCTGGCTATGGTGTTGAATGCCTTTAATCCAGCTCTTGGGGGTGAAAACAGGATCAGAATTCAAGGTCATCCTTGACAGAGCAAGTTCAAAGCCAGGATGGACTACAATAAAACCTTACCTAAAGAGGCAGCAGGGTTTGGCAGAGATGGCTCAGTGGGTAAAGTGCTTGCTTCACAAACATGAGGACCTGAGTTCAAATCCCCAACACTCAGATGAAAGCTGAGTGTTATGGGAGTGGAGACTTGAGGCTTCCTGGGGCTCTCCATCAGCAGTCTTGTCAAACCAGTGGCTCCAGTTCAAAGACCTTGTCTCAAAGGATAAAGGTAGAGAGCAATAGAGGAAGATGCCCCATATGGACCTCTGGCCCGTACATTCATACACGAGTGCGTATATACATGTGCACACACAAGTAAGTCCCACACCAGAGATGGGAAAGGAGAGAAGAAAAACAAATAAACCACAAAACAGAACAAAACTGGGCCATTTCCCCCTCAAGTTCCTACACTCTAGATTTTTGGGTTTTTTGTTTTGTTTTGAATTTCTCTGTGTAGTCCTGGCTATCCTGGAACTCACTCTGTAGACCAAGCTGGCCTCAAAGTTACAGAAATGCACCTGCCCCTGCCTCCCTGGGTGCTGGGATTAAAAGTGTGCACCACCATCGCTGCTGCCCCGACCACCGCCATCTGGCCTTCCACATTCTAGATTTAACTGAGTATCTTTGCCATGTCATATGGCACGATCCTCTGCCCCTGCAACTATATTTAAAAGTTTGATTAAGTTCCATTCACTTTTTCCCCAGGAAGAGTCTATAAATGGCATTGTCAACTTCTCTTTTGCCACACTGGGAAGCACACTGTGGCAGCTGTTCCTCGTGATGCTAAGACTGGCCAGTGATGCTGTCCCAGAATGCTGTCTACCGAGTCTTTATGAAATGCACCATTGGAAGTCTCTTGCGGCTTCTCATACGACCACAGATTTGGTTTAAAACCACAGAAGTCAGAATCACAGTGTGAGCAGAGGTACATTTCTGAAGCAGCTTTGCTTCCTCCTCCCCCCCGAGCCCTACCTCTGTGGTCACCATGTCTCCTCCTCCTCATGTACATGCCTCTTCTGTTTCTCAAAAGGATACACCTTGAGATTTGCCCACTTTGCAATCTCAAGATAGTCTCATCTCAAGATCCTTAGCTGAAGTTAAATATGTGTATGTGAGGTGGGGGGAGAGATTGTGTTGTGCAGGGTTCTCAACATATGGTCGTGACCCCCTTTGAGGTCAAATGACCTTTTCACAGGGGTTGCATATTAGATATCCTGCATATCAGACATTTGCATTATGAGTCATAACAGTAACAAAATTACAGTTATGAAGTTGCAATGAAACAATTTTATGGTTGGGGGATCTCCACAACATAAGGAACTGTATTAAAGGGACACAACTTTAGGAAGGTTGAAACCACTGGCTTAGCATTTAAGAATGATAGTCTTTCAGAGGACATGGGTTCAATTCCAAGCACCCATATAGTGACTCACAACCATCTGTACCTCCAGTTGCAGTGGATCCAACACCCTCTTCTGGCCCCTCAAGTACTACATGCACACGGTGCACAGACATGCAGGCAAAGCACCTGCACTTAAAAGATGGCACCAAAGACCCCACCTTAAAGTAAGTCAATCACAGCTTCCAGGGTTAGGAGAGGGCACCCTAAAAGCCAACATCCACCGATTTCCATGTGAAAATGGCATCTGTGCACATTCAGTGATGAGAATGCTCTCCTGCTACCTTACTCACAGCACACTTCCCTCCTTGAAGTTTTGCTGTTCTAAATACAAGCATTCAGAAAAGAAAGGC